GACGCATTTGATGAATCCGATCAGACGTTGTCTGAGAAACGCCGCAAGAGTGTCTCACCTGCAAAGAGCGTGCCTGCAAGTCGCAAGAAGAGAGCGCAGTCGAAGCAAAGCTATGATGAAGATGCATCGCCCGTCAAAGAGACTGCTGCGGATAAACGGAAAGAACGCATTCACGTATCCACCATCAACCTCGAGATGCCAGACACATTCTATACACAGCCACCTCCAACAGACTCCCCACCGTGGAAGCCGCGAGGAGCAATATGGACGAAGCCTGCTACCACGATTGGCGTTCACAAGCCATCAGCACCTGCGAAACAGAATGGGTTGGACGCTACGAGGAATGTGTCTTTGCCGGGTAGACAGTCAACATCATCTAGGCCCGCACCGCAAGCGGCGCCTTCTCCAGTTCCTTCAGACTCATTCGGGGATGTCGACATCGACATTGACGAGTCACCAAGATTACCAGTTCGGGCTGCGACGGCAACGGCAACAGGTGCCTATGACTTCACCCAAGACCTAGCAGATCTCCCATCTGACGCCTTTGCCTCTTCATGTTCCTCGCCACAGAAGCAGGACGATGTACAAGTTACGTCAGCCAGAAAGCGGGTGGTCGCACCTCTCACTGGCCTACGGCAAACTACCTTGTTCGGTCGTGCGGGTGTTGATAGTACAATTGCCCCATCCCAAGTAAACAAGCGTTACAATTTTGTCGTCGACCAGAAGGCAGAGCCACCCACTCACCACAAGCTGGATCCAGAAGCAATCAAGACTTGGGTGTATCCAACAAACCTGGGCACTATCCGAGACTACCAGTTTAACATCGTCCAGAGAGGTCTCTTTCACAACTTACTCGTCGCTCTTCCGACTGGTCTTGGTAAAACATTCATCGCGGCTACGATCATACTGAACTGGTTTCGATGGACGACAGAAGCACAGATAGTCTTTGTCGCTCCTACCAAGCCGCTCGTGGCACAACAGGTAGAAGCCTGCTTCCATATCGCAGGTATTCCGCGCTCGTACACCACAATGCTTACCGGAGGCGTGTCGACCGGCTTACGCGCAGAAGAGTGGAAAGAGAAAAGAGTCTTCTTCATGACGCCTCAGACACTCCTAAACGACTTGAAATCTGGATACGCAGATCCCAAGAAGATTGTACTATTGGTTGTTGATGAAGCTCATCGTGCGACCGGCGCTTATGCTTACGTCGAGGTCGTCAGCTTCCTCCGCCGATTTAATACGAGTTTCCGAGTACTGGCCTTAACGGCTACACCTGGTGCTGATGTTGAGTCGGTCCAGAAAGTTATCGACGGTCTGGACATTTCCAAAGTAGAGATTCGAACGGAGAACTCCATGGATATCTGCAGCTATGTTCATCAGCGCAAGATCGACAAGAAAGTCTTCCAAAATACAGACGAGATGGAGATGTGTATGGAGCTATACAGCCAAGCACTACAACCCTTGGTGAACACGATAGCTGGTCTCAACGCTTATTGGAGCAAGAACCCCCGCGACTTGACACCTTTCGGGTGCCAACAAGCCAAGAAGAAGTGGTTCCAAGAGGTCGGTCGAAACGCCAACCGTGGCCTTCAAAGCACGGTTCACACCATCTTTGCTATCCTCGCATCTATCTCCCACGGAATGGATCTACTGAAGTACCATGGCATGGGACCCTTCTACATCAAAATGAAGGAGTTTCAGGATGAAGCTGCTAAAACAAAGTCCAAGTACAAGAAGCAGATCCTCGATAGTGACGCTTGGAAGAAACTGATGGTGCGTCTCCATGGGTGGATCAACGACGACAACTTTGTTGGGCATCCAAAGTTGGAGTATTTGCAGCAGGTTATTCTGGATCACTTTGTTAACGCAGGTGATGGCCGAAACGTCGATGGCGCGCCTCCTTCGCAGACGAGAATCATGGTATTCGCCCACTTTCGTGACAGCGCCGAAGAGATCGCGCGCATCCTGAAAAGACATCAGCCGATGATTCGCCCACGCATCTTCGTCGGACAAGCGCACGGGAAGAATTCAGAGGGTATGTCGCAGAAGGACCAGTTGGAGGCTATCGAAAAATTCAAGAATGGCGATTTCAACACGTTGATTGCCACCTCGATTGGTGAAGAAGGTCTCGACATTGGCGAGGTCGATCTCATCATCTGTTACGATTCGAAAGCATCGCCGATTCGCATGTTGCAGCGCATGGGCCGTACAGGTCGAAAACGCCAGGGACGAATTGTGATGCTTCAAATGGAAGGCAAGGAAGAAAATGACGCGAACAAGGCAAACGACAGCTACCTCAAGATGCAAGAGCTTATTGCAGATGGAGGGCACTTCAATTTCCACGACGACGTATCTCGCAGGATTCTACCACCAGATGTCAAGCCAGTCGTTGACCGACGCGCGGTAGAAATCCCCGCCGAAAACTCTCAGAAAGACTGGCTCCCAGAGCCGAAAAAGGGAAGGCGGACAAAGAAGCCTCCCAAGAAATTCCACATGCCAGACGATGTCATCACTGGCTTCGTCACTGCAGGCCGTATGGGCGAGGAGATTGTACCAAAGGGTCGAGGGAAGAAAGCTGCTATGCCAGTATATCCCAGCGAGACAGCCTTTGAGATGCCACCACTCGAGCCGGTCCTTTTGGACGACTCAGCGATGCAGGATCTCGAGAGGCGATACCAGACAGTCTTCGACGATGATGATGCTCCTATGGTTGGGGGATTGGACCTGAGCAAATTTCCCGAGCGACAGCGCACCCTGCCTTACAAAACCCGTCGAGTCGGGCCAGGTCGTGTCACACGGGCTTTTGCTGGTACTATGCAACGCATGCACGATATGGACACTGACCGCCTGGAAAAGTTCCAGCGCGATCTGCACTATTCTGATTGCGAATCAGATGCAGACGATGGTTTCGTTGTGTCACATACGGAGGTTGCGCCAGTCATCGCAGAAGACATGTGGGAAGACGATGAACCCGCTTCACCGGTCCTTCCGACGACCAAAGCAAAAGCAAAGCCTGGCCCGAAACCGAAAGCAAAGGCACCGGCGAAACCCAAGGAGAAGGCGCCACCAAAAGAGAAAGCGGCACTGAAACCAAAAGGAAAGCCAGTGCCGAAACCCAAAGAGATGGCACCTCCGAAGACCCCTAAAACACCAGCACCTCGTGGTCGAGCGCGGAAAGACAAACCAACTGTGGAAACGCCGACTTACGACACCGACGCATTGGATGAAACACCGATAACAAAAACACCTAACTGGCGCGTGTCCAACCTCGCTATGGAAGGCAATGAGTCGTCTCCACCACCGACAGATCCCCGTTTCCGCCTACCATCCCAAGCCGACACAATTGGCTCGGACGACACGTTGGGTGCGGATGAACCGGAGGACCCTCTTGCATGGCAGAATGACTCGGAGCTGGCTAGCTTCATCATTGAAGGGGAGGAGGAAGAGGTAGTGCCTACATCCAGCTTGCCCAGTATTGATATCTTTGGTGTCGGGGCGGGGACGCAAGCAGTCGTCAAAGCTGCCACCAAACCAAAGCGGACACCCAGACGCGAGAAGCTCTTTACCAGCGATATCACGGACGACGATGCAGTTGTCAGCAGTGATAGTGACGATGATGCACCGCTCGTCAAGAAGGGTGCGAGCAGGAAGGACGCTGTCGTTCTTGATTCTGATTCAGAAGTGGAGGAAGACGCGCCTGTCGTTCAAAGGAAAAGAGGCAGACGGATTATAGACGACGACTCGGATGAGTAATAGATGAGGCATCGAATCGATCTTACGACCGTATATATTTAGATAATACAATGCATGTTCATTCAAACTGTTTCCAATACTCTGGCTCGAAGCCGTCCATTTGTTGAGTGTACGGTTCTCCAGCCTTCACCCAACCCTTGATGCCACCACCAAGTGTCAAAGATGTGATCTGATCATCGCCCTTGTCCGCAATATAGTCTGCAAACCAGCCAGAACACCTGGGGCCTCTTCCATTCGATGCGCCTATGATGTGTCAGCGTGCTAGTAGGATCTTCTTGTTCGTGTTCCAAATGACGATACCATGTGGCACGCATCTCACGCCACCAACACACGATCATCTCCTTCATGTCGCATCAAGAACGTCATTTTCATGAGGTGAAGAACTGACCACAATAGAACGCAACGCGTTTGACTCCCGCCCTTTTGCATAAGTCGTACAATACCCCGCGGTTCATGTAGAAAGAGTGGGCGGGAAGGTTTAGGCTACCTCTAATAGTTCCGCCCTCATAATCGGTGCGTCGCACATCGACAATGAGCAAGTCTGGAGACGAGAGATGTGACAGGGCCTCTTCGCGTGAAAGCGTCGGTGCGGTGCAACGTGGGGCAGGAAAGGCATCTGTCCAACTCCCTGTCGCTTTGGTGGGTTCAGCCATGTCGAAGATTTAGCGGCCGTTATCAGGAAACTATTCTTAGGATATGCGCTCGCTGCAGTTGTTTTGGATATCTAACGCGCAAGTGGATTTGCAGAGCCGCACGAAAGAGTGGTCCGTTGAGCCTCCCGCTAGCGCGTCACGTCAGGGTCCCATTGGCATGTCACCGCCGCCACAGCCTTTGGTACTGGCCACATTGCTACAACCGTGGCCCGATGGACGACTGATTACAATTCCCTGGAATGCCGCGGGTCTGATCTAGTACCATACACCTGTCCCTTCCACGGTTCACTCTTTTGGCCTCTTGCGAATTCGGCTTAGGCTTTGTCTTTCATTTATCTTAGATTGCCTCGAGTCGGAACTTCCTACTTCGCCCAGGGTCTGATTTCCGACTTGCGCCAACGCGGTTTCAATAATCTACACGCTGGCCTCTTTGCCTACCCCACACATACACTCGGCATTTAATTTACCGGAGAGACTCATATACCGAGGATACGAGTAGTTGTAAGTTTCCAACTCCTCCATCCGCTTGGGAGGCGCTGTCGCCGACGTTTACTGACTGGAGGACTCAAGTAGCCACATCATACCATCACCACGATGCGCTCTGCTGCGCAGGTGTTCTACCTAGCCGTCTTCTCGCTGCTGGGTAGCTCACACGCTGCGAGCCATGCTACCAAGTCGAGTAGTCCTCCGTCAGACGTCTGCGATGTAAGCAACAAGTCGAAAGCTCCACCAGCCCAACCTGAAGACTCAGATACTAAGACCGCTTTTCAGATATCGCCTGGTGCGATAGTTTCCGACGCTTGCGTAAGCTACAATACCCTCGAACAGCTCAACGAAGCCATACACCCATACCTCCAGTCCATCACGCAAAACACCGACTTCTTTTCGCATTACCGATTGAACCTGTACAGCAAGAAATGTCCGTTCTGGGACGACGAGAATGGCATGTGCGGGAACATCGCATGCGCGGTTAATACACTGGACAACGAGGAAGACATACCGCTCGTCTGGCGCGCAAAAGAACTCGGCAAGCTGGAGGGGCCTACAGCACAACATCCGGGGAGGAAGCAACAACGGGAAGAGAGGAAACGGCCGCTACACGGCAGCCTAGGTGAAAACGTCGACGAGAGCTGTGTGGTCGAGTACGACGACGAATGCGACGAGCGCGACTACTGCGTACCGGACGACGAATCGGCGACTGCAAAGGGCGACTACGTGTCGCTTGTAGACAACCCAGAGCGCTTCACCGGATACTCGGGCGTCGGAGCTCAGCAGGTGTGGGAGGCTATATACCGGGAGAACTGCTTCAGTAAGCCTCCCAAGAATGCACCCTCCACTGGCAGTTCGTCACCACCTGGAGGATCGTCTTTTGGCGGGTTTGGAAACCAACAACAACTGCACGCCGCAAATCAGTTCCGCAACGTCATGCAGGAACAGGGCAAGAAGCAAAAGGTTCAGTCTGCGATTGCTCACGGTTCTCCTGTAGATAGCCTCGACCCTGTCGAATTCGACGATACCTGCCTGGAGAAGCGCGTCTTCCACCGCGTCATCTCTGGCATGCACGCGTCCATCTCCACGCACCTCTGCTACGACTACCTCAACCAGACAACAGGAGAGTGGGGACCCAACCTGGCCTGCTACGAGCAACGCCTACACAACTTCCCCGAGCGCATCTCCAATGTCTACTTCAACTACGCCCTCGTCATGCGGGCTGTAGGCAAGATCAGGCAGCACATTTCCGACTACTCCTTCTGCTCCGAAGACCCCGAACAAGATCTCCGTACCAAGAACTCGGTCTTGCGCCTCGCATCCGCCCTCCCCTCAGGCCCCGAGATCTTCGACGAGACGGTCATGTTCCAAGACCCCGACACAATGGTATTGAAGGAGGACTTCCGCAACCGGTTCAGGAATGTTAGTCGCATCATGGACTGCGTGGGATGCGATAAGTGTCGGCTCTGGGGTAAACTACAAACGAATGGCTACGGCACAGCTCTCAAGGTGCTCTTCGAGTTCGACGAGAACGATTCCTCAAAGGACCCGCCGCTTCGCCGCACCGAACTTGTCGCTCTCATCAACACGATGAACCGTCTTTCGCATTCACTATCCGCCATCAAGGACTTCCGTCGCATGATCGAAGAGCGCGATGGCTTGCCTAGCGATGTCGCGCCTGCGCTACCGGCGACCGACAAAGGAGTGTTGAAGACAAGACTCGCGCTCGAAGACTCTGACGAAGACAAACCAATCGACATCTTGACTGGCGGAGAAAAAATCCCAAGCTTCAAGCGAGACTGGGACGCGAGGAAGATGACCATGTGGCAGGAGGTCAAGGCCGAATTCAACCTTGTCAAGAGAACATTCTACTACGTGTTATGGCAGTGGACTCAGCTTCCTGGGCGATTGTAAGTCATGAAATTACCCATAACTTACTAAGACACCAAACTAACAGATGGAATAGTACCAAAATCTTCATTCTCGAAATGAGGAGAGCTTACAATTGGTGGATGGGGTTCGTGCCCGGTCCGAGGAGTTGGGAGATTCGCATCCCGAGACGAGACGAGTTGTGAGCTGGTTCTCGATCGTACATGTGTTTTGATGCATAGCTTAGGCGTATTTGGGGATGATTGGTTTGGCACATATCGAAGGCATCAGATGGCGTTTTTTTTTTCATGTTGAACACGCGCAATGCTATACACCTGGCACGTTTGAATTCATCTTATCGCAACACACGCACCGTTCTCCTCATGCATTATGCGATGATGCGCTGACGCGACGTACTCCAACAGTTGTCCTCCGCGGCATCCATCGTGTCGTTCCACGCGCAATGACATGTCGCACCTGCATCCCAACGCCGCGGTCTGAGCACCCTACTACGTCATCTCGGCCGACCTTCGCCCTCGCCTCGCCTCCTCATTTCCAATCCACCGTCTCCAAACCTTCCATCCGCGAACATCCGGTCGTATCGCGTGAATTAAGCTCTGCTAAGCATTGAGGAGAAGCTACACGCCTGTTTTCCACACATTACCCCGATAGGAAAGCGGAGAGGTGCGGAAGATGAAGTAGAGAGGGGAACGATGATGAGTAAAGTATACCAAGGTATGCGTATGTTTACGATGGTGACTTCTCTAGGCGCGTTACGCAAGGGATCGCCGGTCAGTGTTCGCGTTACCGTGATTGCCCTCGTCATCACGTCTACTAATCGTTATTTACGTGTCGTTTACTGCAGACCCTGCCGCGTTCAGACTACTAAGCTTTTAGTTAAGCTACACGCCTATCATCCACGATTACCCAGAGCGGTAATTGGTAATCTAACAGAAAGAGAGGGGGTGCGAGAGGGGTTCGAGCTGCACCACAGCGGGGTTCTGTGAGGGGTTTCGTCGTCTTGACTCTTGGGTACTCTGTTTTTTTGTGGTACTCTGAAATATTTTTGTGGTTTTGGGAAAGGTACCCGGTGGATATATGTGCCAAGGTGAGGAGAAGGCATACGCCTATTTTCTACAGTTGATGCTGGAGTTACTCAACGGGGTAGGAAGGATGCGATATTGGTGGCCGCGGATGTCGTTGAGTGCGGCTCCCGACTGGGTGTTGCTCGTCATACCTACGGGTTTTGGGTGGTGTTGCGTGTTCGTGATGATGGTTGAGGGGGGCTTTTCGCCTTCGGCTTACTACTTGCGGATAGGACGTTGAGGAACGCTTGGAAGTTTCGAGACGAGCGATAGCGCTGCTTTCGATGGTTACTGACTTGGGTATCTGATGGAGTGGAGATTAGGCGGATGGCGTGAGGGAAACATGTACTGCTGTTCATCACCGAGCTCTTACTGAGTAGCTTGGGCCTGATCGGCTTCCTTTCAGTTTGGTACAACATCCATCAACTTAAAAATATGACGTGGTGGATGCTGTATCAAACTGAAAGACGAACCGATAAGTTCAAATTCAAATATCACGTTTTGAGTTACTTCATGGGACACGCAGGTCGTGAGCCGAGAGACGCCTGACAAGGACTGCGACGAAATCTTGTAGGCGTTGGAATATGATTAGAGAGAACACTGCCTCTGATTCCTGGCTCTAATTCCTCACAATAATTCGATTCGAAATCTGTTTATTAGATGACTGCAAGCTTACAATGGATGTGGTAGTTTCTACGTTCACCCAAAACGTAACATGTACTACCCAAACCATCAACCCACCGCTCCTTCCCGGACTCGCTCTAACCTAACCCAACAGACAGCTCTTTTCTAGAAATAGTAGTCTGCATTAGGTCTTCAGAAATCTGCAAGATAAAGCGAAGGAATGCGCCTGTTTTCGACAGTTACCTGACTGGGACAAAACACCAGATGTTTGGCTATGAAGGAACACGCTTGTCAAGTGCTGGTTGCTTTTCTGCACGCCTAGTAGATTTGTACCGAGATCTGAACACATGCAAGATGAAGCGAAGGAATACGCCTACTTTCCATGATTGCCTGTCTGGGTAGGCCAAGTGACACACCGATGTTTGGTGTTGCTTTTTAGTGTTTGAGATGTTGGTACGCTTGCGGAGGCGTGTTTAGTTTGGAGGGATTTGAAGCAGGGTGCCGATGGCGATACATTGGTAGTACAGAGACGCGATGCGAGGTTTGCGAGGCTGATGCTCGTTGCGAGACGGAAGAGACGGGGATGGATTGGTATAGAAGTAGAAGTTATGTGTCCCTCAACGCTGCGCGTTTTACCTTCGTGCCTGGATGCGACTATTCAGAATGCTAACAATTCGACAAGTGCATACGTACGAAAGACGCCTGGCGATCAACAGAACATGAGCGATTACACGTGACTTCTCATCTTACAGCCTCACCAACGGAAAAATATGAGGCTCTCATACGCCTGCTTTCAACACCTACCCAACACCGTAAACGCACCCACTTCCTAAGGAACGACCAAGCTACACCAAGTCTGACAAGCCAAACGCCTACTTTCCACGCCTACCTTTTCCAGTAATTTCTCTTCGTTGGCAGAACAGACGACATCGACGTGTCGTTGGCGCGTCATCGAGAGAGGAAAAAAGTTTGCTTATTCCCGCGTAACCTTCCCTTCCGCGGGTACGAGTCGGTGAGCCACGGGCAAGCAAAACAAGCAAACCAATTTTTCTCCATTGGCATTACCAAGCCTCCGCATCTACAATCTACGGTTTTCTTTAATGGGTAACTTTGAAGAAGCCAAGCTTTGGAGCCTGCAATCGATGGTTACTGTTCAGAGGAATATCGGCGAGGATGAAGCTGTTTCACCGTTATTGCCGTATCGAGTGCTGCGATCAATGCGCGAGTTTAGTGGATGGTGATGGGAAAGTGTTATTTCCGACGTATTGCCGAAGATGGTGGATGAGGCGTGAGAAGGTTTTAATATAACCGTTTGGCGCCTGCTTTCGATGCCTACTCTATGCGGTAGGTGAGGAAGGTTCGATGCAGGGACGAGAGGTAGTATACGAGAAAGGTTGCGTGGTTGCTTTTGAGGATTGGTGGGTATACCCGCCTAGTTTTGATCCACCGACCGGGTGGACGCTCAACGGGTATATACAGCCGAGCGCAAGTACTAACAACTACGAATGCCAAATAACCACCAGGCTAAGATTATACTGCAGATCCTATTTACAAGTAGATATAGCACAGAGGGCTACCGCCAAGGGTGTTGAGCACATCGCGAATCTTCACAGTCTTTCCGTTGACTCCCAAGACCAAGGGCTCGTCGATGGTGGCGTTGCGGGTTGGAGGCTTGTTCGACAAGGTCAAAGTACCGGTCACCTCATTCGCCTCACGTGGGTGAAGCGTCTGCCAAATCCAGTAGATGCGGTCAAGCATAGCGTGGTGGAGCCAAAAGACGGGGTCGTTCACAGAGGAGTAGAGATCAGTTCCGTCGCCACCCATGGTGTAGTGACCTGAGGTGTGTAGACCGAGGAAGCCATCCGGGTAGCGACCTTGGATCTCGACCCAGAAGTCGCGATGCGTCTGAGAAGCTCTGCCAATGGTCACATTCAGTAAGTTCGCCGTAGTGAACCACTTCTTGGGAATGTAAGGACTGATGTCTCGGCGCAGGCAGTGAGGGTTGTAGTCGTTGGTGTCGATGCCCAAATCAGGGAAGCCTTGCATACCAGGAGAAATCGGACCAATGTTCGCCACCGTGCTGTACTTTGTTAGCTCACCGCAAGTACTGAGTTATACGACGGTCTCACTTCTTGAATGGGCCGCTCTTGACACATCCGCCTCCTTTTCCAGAGGGGATGGAGATTGTTCGGGCACCGGCAAGACTGCCATTGTGTGCGAAGAACTCGCCATCGCCACCCAGACTGGTGTCACTCCCGTCGAAGACAGGTGATTTGTAGATGTTGTCGGTATGTGCGAACCAGTTCCAGTACTAGAGAAGTTAGACATGTAAGAGTCACCCGAAGTGTCTGGCACTGACTGGTTGATAGCCCTTGTAGCCACATTCGTTTCGGAGGGCTTGCTCGTACGACCAGACAAAGTAGCGGTGCCATGTGAGGAAGAGACCATTGCCATGAATACCAAGGGTCTGGTTCACGTGGATGGCGACATAATCATCGAAGCGCGTCTTCGCTGCTGAAGCCCACGATTTGTCGGACTTGGCTGGCAAAGTTCGAAGACATTGGACAGCTTTGATGTATGCTTTCCGCTCTGACTTGCTCAGGTGATCCCTTGTCGAAGTTAGCCAGCACTCATTCATGCGCGCGGTAAGCTTACCAGTCCCTCCGGATGGTTGTCTTCGCCAAAGAACAACCCTTGGGGGCCCTTTTTGAAACACTCTCATTTTGTTCAAGCGTTTCGTATGCGCTCTGCTGCAGTTGGGCGAGAGCCTCGAGAGGGTCTACTGCAGGGTCTATATCGATGACTGGAGTTGAGGGCGAGTCAAAGGGGACCGCAGCCACAAGGCTTACAGCCAACAGCTGCACGGCGGTTACAGCTTGTAACAGACGCATGGTGATGGTAATGGGATCGCTATGTGCAAGGTCTGGCGATTTAAGGAAGTAAGATCTTAATCCAAATCGACGGTTATATCCAATGCGAAGGCAACCCTTGTTCATGCAAGGCCTTCGCCGCAAGCGTACTTCCGATTTCCAAGGACCTATATTAGAAGAAGCGGCTCTGCAGCGAGTCCAGATGAATAGATTGATCAACGCGGCTTAGAGTATAGGCGCGCCTAATGAAAGCCTGCATCCTCCTCGTACTTTAGCCCAAGAGTGTCCTGCTATGGGACCATAGCTTGTACTGGAAACGCGATGCAGGCTAGCCTACGGCCTCCCTAGGTACGTCTTTGATCTCGGAGTAGCGACTGAACGGCTGGTGGCGCTCGTCGTGGGATATTACCATGCGGAATTTTATGCTGCCAAGATTATACCATGTCAGGGCGATGGGAGTGCATGCTTCCAGAGCACGGCACTGTGTGTGGTCGCCCATTGTTCGCTTGGAGTGGCGAGTAAACGGCTGTCACGACGGGGACCGTTTTGGGTAGTGATAACTTCGCGCGATGCGATGCGAAAGGATCATCTGTCGACCGTTTAGCTGGGTGATCTAAAGGCTCCTGAAGCAAACTTGGCACTGCTAAGATCTGGGATCTGTAGGATTGTGTTGGATTGAAATGACATATGCATACGAAGGCGAAAGGTTGGCTGTCGACCAATGGGACTCCGTCCTACACCATGCGACTATATCTGACTGCGGCATGAGATCGTCAAAGGGTCGCGTAGGAGTGGCGCCTTCCTGCGGTGAATGCGAGACGGGACGGAGACGGGAAAGAGCCCTTGACAGCGGTAAACGATCCCTCGTACCTGCCGCCCCACGAACAACCGGTCCATTCCCATGACCGCGCCGCTTTCTACCAAACCCTGTGGAATCCAGAGACATTTTCATATCCCACGCAATGTCACCAAACAAGCCCATTGGCAATCAAGTAACAAATCGCAAAGGCTTCCAGCTCTGCCTTTGCCTATTCAGCCTAAACTGATCCTTCTCGTATTGCCACCCCCAAGAACCAACATGTCGGCTTGTTTACCACTGAAGCGAGCTCGGTTTTCGCTGCAAGTTGAGACCATTCATGCGCGCAGCGGACCATTAGCCACCCGTCGACCCGTCGAACCGTTGCGCTGGGCTGGCTCGTCTGCGATGGAATCCTACCCTTCGGCCCGATTACTTAGTGCGCGAACGCATCTGGGACCGGTGCATGCTGAAAGTAGATGCAGGTGCGGGCTGCATGCAGGCGATGCCGTCTCTTTGCCATGCACTATGGGCAATATACAGTCGTTTCAAGAAAAAGCAAAGCGCAGGAAGGATTCTCCAAGAAATTGGCACACAAGGATGCCTCATCTCACGGTAAGCAGGCTGACGAACCAACAAACGAGGCCATGTCACCTTCTAGAACACTGCTACCGTGCTTTCAAGTCGTTGCAGAGAGCTCCGTATCTTGCTGGGCATGGAATGTAGGAAGGGGGCACGTAACACAACATATCCTTGGTTTCGACAGGATGCATGACACTTATGTCTCCTCCCCACGACTCCATTTTGCTAGACCCTCATCTTTGCCGTTACTATGGCACCAAAGAATACCGACCCGGTGCGTGCAGCAGAGAGTAATCTAGGATACCTCCTCGGCGTTACCGCGACTTTCCATGTCATCGCACTGACCTTTGTTGGGATGCGCATGTACGCCCGTTTCATCGTCGTGAAGGCTTTCGGCAAAGATGATGCCCTCATACTAGCGGCAGCGGTGAGATACTATCGTGAATCAAGTTTGAGCGCTTCCCTAACTGCGTGGATTAGACTTGTGTTTTTCTTGGTGGAATGGTGACCTACATACTAGCTGGCCAGCATGGCTTAGGTCGTCACACCGACACTCTCGAGAAGTCAGATCACCAAGAGTACCTGAAGTTGACCTTCATACAAGCTCTTGTCTCCAGTATTGGGGGTATGGCCTTCCTCAAGTTGTCCGTCGGGTTCTCACTCCTTCGTTTGGGTGTTCCCACGTTATATAACAGGATACTCTGGTCGCTTAATGGTAAGTCCATGGTGCTTCGAAAAGCAAATCAACCACGTCTACTAAGCCTTGATCAGCATTCGTCTGTCTCTACACACTGGTATCTTGGAGTGAATGGGCTGCCGTATGCAAACCTATCGCCGGCTTCTGGAATAAGGACCTCAAGCCAACCTGCGTGCCTGTGAAAATCCACAAGGGCTTTGCGCTGATGAACACAAGTATGCATGTCCTCCGCCACTCTCACTGTACATGGTGGCTGACTAGATCGTATGTAGGCTGCAATATGTTTACGGATATCTGCTTTGCAACCATCCCTATTCCCATCATTATGGGGTTGCAGATGAAGCAGAAGACTCGCATGTACCTCATATTTGTTCTGAGCTTGGGCTATACGTAAGTTTCTCGGCATTGGCAAGAGAGAGACTTGAGTCGAGGTATAAGAGCTAACCCAAGTCAAGAGCGGTGGCCATGGGTATCGTCAAGGCCGTTGTCCAGAACACAAAGAGAGGCGACCCCGACCAGTCATTGTATGTCTCTATGTCTATACTTGAACCAGTATGGACGTTTGCTAACAGTATGCCAGCACGAACGACATCCAATTCTGGGGCTTCCTCCAAGTGAACGTCGGAATCATAGCCGCATGCGCGCCATCGCTCAAGCCCCTCGTCGGTGGCATTCTTCGCCTCCCCTCGACACAGTATTCCAACAGCCGAAGTAACTTCGCCTCGGGATCGAACGGCCAGTCCAACAAAAGTAGATTGCAAAGCAGGATACGCGTTAGCACTCGAATTGAGAGCAAAGGGTGGATAAGGACAGATAGCGATATCGAGCTGGATGAACGAGAGTCCTTTGGCAGCCAAGCGCAGATAACGAGCAACAAGGATGGAGTTCGTCAATGATAGACCCTTTTTATAGCCGGTATTTATCTTTGCACCTCATATAAGGAAAAAACTGAACAGATCTGCAGCCTGCATTAACATAGGAATCTGCAAAGTAGGCGTCCTAATGTCGATGTAGGCTCTAGACCTGTTTAATTCTTTCCTAGGTTGACGTATTTGAATAATACGAATGCCTTGGGGCTACTTCTCCTCTACGCGACCTTGGGAAAAGACCAGTGTCTTCGTTCCTCACATTCATTTGCGGAATTGAAGGTTGTGAAGATGCCTGTGTCGAAGCAGATAGCAATCACACAGCACGATACGACTGTGCAAGTAAGCAGCTTTTCCAGTGGTCGCGCATTTAAGAAGGCAAGAAACCTGTCCCAAAGTATGCGATGCGCTGCCTGTGGACGTCAGATGTGTAATGAGTGTCGTGCGCGTGGTTCATGCCAGCAGCGGGCGACCTCGGGATGACGCGGGCACTAACGGAACCCCCCAGGCCTACCCCTCACTCCGCACTCATGCTATGCGTCTACACAAATGAACCCTGCTAACCCATAGCATCACGTACATTCAAGAAGAGACTACCACATCGGCGTGTAAGTATCAAAGATCGATAGGGATGCCATTCGTAACGCGAAATGAACAGGTTTGCCTCGCACTACCCGTTGTATGTTTTCCCTGGTGATGCATTCTCATATGTAAACAGCTTTCGTTCTCGCCCAATACTGCCGTGAGGACTCATCCCATCTCGTCTACGGTATAATGATACGCCAGTCATAGTCCCTTCGCAACTTTCAGGGAACAGTGCGGACCCATCACGATTTGACCTCTACCAAGTTTGGAGCGACAAGAGACAAGCTACACGCAGTCTATTTGCCGGAGTTGTACCTCGCGCCGCCCTGACCATCGTTGTAGTAGGTCGAGCCCTGGAAGCGAATTAGCAGGCATTCATCTGTGTTGGGCAATTTTGACGTACGTTGGGGTTGCTGTAGTAGTACGAGCCATCGGTGTTGGAGTAGTGGTAAGAGTTGGGGTTCGAGGCGCTGGAGCCATAGTCGCGGGAGCAATAGTGGTTTCCCTACGAAAAAATGTCAGTAAGGCGTATCAAAAACGAAGAAGTAAGATCATACCTGGCTGTTGGTACCGGAGCTGGTTGTGGTGTAGCCTCCGCTGCCGGTATTGCCAGAGGAAGCCGAGCCGGAGCCGGAGGAGTTGGATGTGTTCTGGGACGACATGGCAGTTGGCTGACTGACGTGGGTATTCGGATAATCGGTGGATTGAGTGGAAGCTGAGTGATATCAAGTTGTAGAAGAAAAGAGGAGAAGGGCAAGGGGTGTTAAATGTACGAGAAAGGCAACGCCGTGAGGGGAACCCCCGCACTGACTTCCCGCAACGGCTTACGCTTTCCTCATTCTGATCCCACGAGCTTCGCCACGCGGAGCGCGCTACTGCTTGTATCAACGTTTGACCGCTATCGCGTTGTCACGAGCTTACCAGAAAGGACGGGCCGCTACTGCAATCTTAGTACAGTGACACGACTTTCAGACTACGCGACTCATGCGACGGGACGCGTTTGGTTACCTTGGGCTCAAGATCTCACTGGCGTTAGAAGGGAAGTAGAGCGTTCAAGTTGCAGTATCATTTCTTAGGTTGCTACACTCGATCTTGGAAGATCAGCTCGCAAGGAAAGCAGATACAGCCCGACCACCCAGCTTCCTTCCCTTCCTTTTCGTCTATCACATCCTTTGTATCTTCACCAGCTCAACCTTGAATCCGTGTCATCTGCATATGACAACGTGTCTCAGTGCGCCGCTCCAACCTCTTAATGTTGTCGCGCCGGAGATGCCTGTAGAACAGCTTCAATGACAGAAAGCTCCACCAGCTCGGCAGCCGCCTGATTTTGTTCCCTTTTCTTCTTTACTCTGTACCATGCCACGAACAGGACGAACCCTACCACGGCCGATGAACCGATCGCGGAGATGACGATGAAGATGATAATGGTGGCGGAGGTGGTTGCCTGCTGTTTCGCGACTTCTGTGACAGGCGAAGATTTGGGTTCAAAGAGACTCATGGCTGTTTGCTGTTGGTTGCTCTGAATGCTGACTTGGGGTAGTTGTATGAGGATGGCGCGGCGCCGGTTCAGACGATGTCGTATCTGGACCTTGTCGTAGCAACAGTGCCCTACTAAGCCACTCGCTCGTCCGACGTCTGAAGCGTCTGCCGTAAGTTGAAGGTCGAGACTGTTGGCCCAGGTGGTATTGGGTTCGTCCAGATGAGCGCCGGTCCGTCGAGAATGACAACGCCGCGTTGTCGAAGCCGCCTCCACCGCGCTTTGCTGTGTACGTTGGACCAACGGAGAAAGACGATGACGAGAATGATCTGGAAGAGCAAAATGATGAGGACACCGACGATGATCAAGAAGAGAGGCCAGTCAGGAAGGTTGAGAGGCGCCAGCGGTACGTGAGTGGATGCTGGAAGTGCCGGCATGGTTGAGAAGATGGCGTGATTGGGCTGCGTGAGAGTGAGGATACAAAAGAGGAGAGCTTATCGGTGAGTTGGGAAAAATCTGCGCGCGCGACAGCCGTGATGGAGTGAAGGTGAAAAGTTTGTACCGCGAGACCGCGGACTTGACGACGTGCCTACCGTTCGTTGAAACTGCCGAAAACAACATCATCTGTTTGCGCGTTGACGTCATGTGCACCATTTCTCCAGATGCATTTGCATTGCCCTGTCTTGACTTTCCGTCCTCGAGGCGTATACATCCGGCAGGAGTCCCCCAAGAGATCGAGGGAGAGGAGGTTGTAGCCTGCAAACTGGTTGGAGGGTTGGCTGGAAGCCTTCTAGGGAGGTGATTGTGGGTAGCAAGCCACCATATGCAATGTCGATTGAGCGGGTGATATATTGATGTAGTAGGCAAGTCGTTTGTTGGTCGGTTACTCCGAATAGTTAAGACATGTTGTAGTTCTTATAGTTTGTCAGTAAAGGTAAGGAAGAAGGTGGGATTTTTGCTCTCGGCCAGACAACATAGATATGTAGTGCTGCTAGAAGTGATGCTGCTGATCGAACCATGGGTCAACGCTTGATGCTCAAATACCTTATCCAGGTACGAGCAAGGCGGCGACATAGGAAGCCATGACGGTATTCCAAATGCGATGTATACCCAGGGCGAAGACATTCACGCTCACGGCTTGGTTCAGCGTTATTTGGGCTGGATGTCGGAGTCTGAGGGTTAGTTATGCGGCTAGATATAGCACATGTGACGAGACTTTCGCCGCAGACATGAATAGTAGGCCTGCGCTATACTCTATAGAAAAGGCTACGTATATCTTAAGATATGTTTTCTTACTTAGCTACAGACTTTAAAACTTTCTTGTAGTCTTAATAAGGTACTATGCCTAAACAAAGGACTAGAAGGTAGGTTAACGTATTTATCAAACCACTTCTGCATGCTCAACCCTTAGTCCTCTCGATACGTCCGTCCCAACGTACTGCACATGACCCATCGCGGCGAGCGACCCACAACTTCCGAAATTGGTATACACCCATCCAATCAGGTCCTCTCGAATAAGGAGTACCTTCAACACCAGGACTTGGTCTCCTCGACTCCTGTGAACGCCCAAGGCGAAGAACTCCTCTAGCGAATCCGCTCACATGATGGTCATAATCGTCGCGCGACTTCGAAAATAAGACATGGATATGTCTACGGCGGTTTTCGGCCCGCAATGTACGACAAGCCCGCCTAAGATTTGGCGAGAGTGGCGAGAGTGGCATTAGATCCGCCTCTGATGTGCAGATATATCAAGTCCGTGGCATCGAATTGGCCGTATCAAGTGCCTATGTATCGAGATCAACATCCTTCCCGCTTTCGTGCGCCCTCAGCATCACATCTTCTCCTTCTCTCTAACCGGACTCAGAATTGGCTGGAAAGCTTTGATCTGCTACAAAAGCCATTAGTATACTCCCATCCGAGCATCATGACGTCACCAAAACATACCTTGCCCATCCAGCCCCCCTCACCTCGTTCCGCTCGATCTATACCCCTTGCATCTCCGCCCATATCTTCTCCCCTCTTTCTATCTCTTCCTCCACACCTACAGCACACCACTTTTCTCAGCACAGCGACAACCATTAAGAAAGCCATCATAGCGAGGATGTAATTCACGCCCAGTACGATCAAATAGCTGACACCGAAAAGATTGTCGCGCGTACAGAACCCAGGTCCTAGATTCCAGGAACGGATCATGGGGTCGATGAGCTGAGCAATGTACATTGGACATTTGTGGAGTGTGGGGTAGTCAGGGAAGGAGGGCGCGGGGCTCGAGTGTGGTAGGTGCAGGGCCGGGTAGGTGATGATGATTTGTGGCATTTCGGGATACGTAGATGTCTTGAAGAAGGCAGTATAAAGCTGTCGATTATGAAGCGCGGAGTGTTGGCGAGTGTATATGTCGAGTTATGGTGAGGTCTTTGTGAGCTGAGGTGTATGAGTGGCCGCTGTTCAAGGACCGATGCGCCGCAATTTACATGATTGCCTTGGTGTTACACGGCAGCCACCGAGTAGTTGGAATGCGGCGTCGCCCTGTCTGTCTTGGTGTGCGGATGCTGAGCGTCACTTTATCTGCCATGGCCTGAAACGCGCGTCGTTGTTTCGTATACATGGGGATGGCCTTGCGCATCGACCTTGGATGGGTAATTTGAATATTAAGGTTTTGAAATGCGATAGATTGTTTCAATGAGTAGATATGCGCTAAATGCGATAATCTGGTTCGTTTTCGACGACCCGGAAAGTTGGTAACATACACTTTACCTAGTCCTTCCATTTCCCGCTCCATCCCTGCCGTGCCGCCTGCGCCGTCTCTGCCTCATCAACACTATCACCGTCCACGTACCCGAAGTATTTTCTGGGCCAGATATTCAGCCCAATCTTCTCTCCTTCGCCCACAGGTAAGCCAGCATGTACGACTCTTCTATCGCCGTTGCCGTGCTTGTCCAGATTAACCCAAAACACCGCGTTTCCTTGGATGGGCTTGAACTTCATGCCTTTGGCTTCCCCATCCATCTCCCCATGAGCTACTTTGCCGTTATAGAGACCTTCTAGATCGATAGACGACGAAGGTTCGACCAGAGGGAAGGACGTGTATCCATCTGTGCAATTGTCGCGCAGAAACACGAAGAAAGACGCAACACGGTTATAGTACATCTGCCTTCCATTCTCAAGAGTAGTGATCTGGTGTTCGGGCCAGAAATCTGTGTGGAGGTTGTACTTCTGGGCGGGGAAGTAGCGCACGAGTTGCGGGATGCTGAAAGGTTCTGAGGGAAGTAGCATGGAGCCCATGAACGTTCGCGCGCGATTGAGAAGGCATTCGACAAGCGGGTCTCCCAGTGGGAGCGGCGCGGATTGAGAAGTTCGCCCTGTTACACGCTGCGTGTTGCCTCGCGAGCGGCTGATGAAGGACTCGGCGAATTCAGAGGACCTAAGAGAGGGTCAGTGACTGTCGTGAACGTGTTCTAAAGCCTCCAAGGGATATAGACATGTACGCGTACCCAAGATGGATGAGTTCCTCTGCTTCTCGCGCTGACGTGAAGTTGTTGATATAGATCAAGAGAGGATCGAGCGATATGATCTCAGTCGTATACTGGTGCTTGGTGCATGCTTTGACTAGGCTGTCCAGACTCTGACGTTCTTGTGATTGTGAAGTGGCTGTGGCTTCCCATGCCGATGTAGGCAGGTACGATTGGAGCTGTTTGGGCAAGTACGCGTGTAGTACAGGCAGGAGCGCCTGCTGAGTGCCCGCATAGAAGAAACCGAAGGACGCGAGAGGAAGCAGTAGCAGCAGTAAAATACTCGTGCTACGAGTGGTCGCCTACAAGCAAACATTAGCCGTCTCTATGTAGAGAGTCCGGGTATTCCTTACGAGCCCTGACTTGCCTTCCATCGGCGATAGCATCGCTGCGTTTACGCCTTTCTTATTTTCGTGATTCCTGTGTGCCATATCTAAATATCGCGTTCATGCCTCGACGTGCCGGTAACTAAGAATGCGATGGCTATCGCGCGCATGCGGGTAGTAGCGCTGATGCACACCTCGCGACAGTGCGATTATGTGCGGGATGTGTTGCGTACGTGACGGCGATACTGTTTGGCGGCATACGTATTGCGAAAGGTCTTGTAGTGTGATCTGTACATGATATATGCATATGAGCTGTGCATGACCAAGAGTCTGGGGTAATATCCGGCTACAGCACCCCGGTGATGGGATATATGTGCGTCGTCACACCTACAAGGTCTTGTGCGTACCGGAACCAGAAAAGCAGTAGTCATTTCGCCCGTTCATTTTGGAATGCAAGTGGTAGATATAATGAAAGATGTGCATTGGAGATGCGCGATGTGCAGCTGTGATCGCTATCGTGGGAACAATTCAACTCCGCTGCTACCTTTTTGGAAAACCTTTCATGGTGTCGTGGTACTCCAAACGCCATGCTAGACTTTTATGTACAAACCCTTGCAGGCAGCTTTTTCATCCATGTGCGCTCCGCCAGTAGAGAAAGATGGTGCGCATTGCCATTTGACAGCCAGAGTCAGAAAAGAGCAAACGAAAAGCCGACCAGTTCGTAGAGCGTTATTGATCTACGTCAGGGTCGCGGAAACGCTTTAGACTTCATCCTCCACGATCTCCTCCTTGGCGGGATCGATCTTCATGGGAGAGCCTCCGGTGTCAGCGTCCTCGTCGGACTCCGCCTTGACAGCTGCGGTATGTTAGCGGTCTGGGGTTTACATCAAGATGAAAACACGCAAAGTAGGCGAACCAACGTCAACGTAGGCTTCAAGGTGTGCTTACTCTCGTTCTTCTTGCCACGGGGAGTAGCCTTCTTCTTAGGGGAGGACTCGCCGTCGACGTCCTGCTTCTTAGCGACACGCTTGCGAGGAGTCTTCTTAGGGGTCTCGGCACCCTCCTCGCCATCATCCTGCTTGGCGGCAGCGGCCTTCTTGCGAGGAGTTTTCTTGGGAGTAGCCGGAACGGCGCCGTCGGGAGAGGGTGTCATTAACTTGAGCTTGATCTTGGCCCAGGCGTTGCTAGCGGAGCGCGGGTTGCCCATACCGGCGTAGGCGGCGAGCTTCTCGTAATCGATCTATAGCGGGTGTGAGTAGTGTGATAGGAATAGAGAGGGAGTGGTGACCTACCTCTGGAGGACCGGACTTGAGGGACTGCATGGCCCATCCGAGGAGCTGGAGCTCGCGCTCGGTGAACTGAGGAGAAGAGCCATTGGCGACGGCGGTGTTATCGTTGTCGGACATGTTGGATCGTTGGGGTGTGCTTGAATGCTGGTCGCTGTGTGTTGGTGGTCAAGTTGTAAAGAGGATGCAGGTGGGAGACGGATGCAGATTATGAATGCGGGGGATTAGCGCGATGGCAGGAAAGTGAAGGTGAGCACACAAGGATGGACGGCGCACACAGATAAGCCAAATAAGGCCCTCACCTCGACTTCATGATGCGAGACCCTGGATTGAGCACGCGCTATTGGTCGCCTGCCATCGGACACGCACACGTGCGCCACGACGAAGTGAAGGTGAGCCGCACCTCGATATCGGACTGCCTTACGTGATATGGTATGAGAGCAGACATTTCGGAATCCAGAGGTCTTACCCCCTCATGTCTTGTATAAAGATATGACGATAGCTCTTTCTTGCTTGCTATTCCATGAGCAAAAGTGGCAGTCAATGCAAACGACTGTCTGCATACTCGCAACGAGTTTTATTGTATTGCCACAACGAAGAGCGCTTATTCGACGAGACGAGACATGACATCTAGCATGATCAAAAGAAAGCCCTGAAAACACGTCATGATGGAAGTGAAAGAGTTCGTCCTTGACGACGGAAGTCGCGATTGTTGAGAGAAAGAGACAGAAACAGGCCGCTGCTGCCACAAGCCTTGTGACGCGAGGACAAACACCCTTCCTGGAATGGACAGCAACCCATACAACGCGATAATCAGCGACAACGAAAGAGAGAGTTGAGGTGTTGTTGCGTGAATTGACGCGTCGCGGGGATGGGGTACCAACGCTTGTACTCGCCTGACTCGTGTGGGCCGGCCAGCGAATCGCCGACGGAGGAGCCGCTGGAGATTGAGGGGACGGGGCTAGGACCCAAGCGATACTCAAGCAACCCGACCTTGATCACGCCCGAGCGATACACGCCCAAGACCCGAATCAGAATCATGGCGGACCCCATTGACAGCGCCCTGTGAGGCTTCCCCTACCCCGCCTTCCCCGTGTGTATAGCTAACAGCCCATGTCAGCGACCTTCTGCGCCGACTGAACCCCAAGGACGTCAAGCGCAATGTCGACCACATTATCCAGCTCAACCCCTCGCTGGAAGAGGACCTGCTCGAGTCCGTCGACATACCGCTGACGGTCAAGAAATGCTCCAAGACGAAGCGCGACTTCCTGTGCTGCGACTACAACCGCGACGGCGACAGCTGGAGAAGTCCGTGGAGCAACGAGTTCGAGCCGCCCATTGAGGAAGGTGTCACGCCTAGCGATCGTGTCCGTAAGATGGAGGTCAAGGCGAACGAGGCTTTTGACGTGTACCGGGAGCTGTAAGTGCACACAGGGGAAGGAGCAGCTTGGAGAGCTTGGCTGATATAGACAGGTACTTCGAGGGCGGCATATCGAGCGTGTACCTGTGGGACATGGACGACGGCTTTGCAGGCTGTGTCCTGCTGAAGAAGGGTACGCAGTCTTGGGTCTACACATCCATCACATGCTAATGCACGCAGCCGTCAACCCCACGCCCAAGAGCTCCGGCAGCTGGGACAGCATCCATGTCTTCGACGCCCAAGACCGCGCCCGCACCTCGCACTACAAGCTCACCTCCACCGTCATCCTCTCCCTCGGCACCGACAGCGAAGCGCTCGGCGGTCTTGACCTCTCCGGTAATATGGTGCGCCAAGTGGAAGCCGACATGGCCGTCGAGGATGACACCTCGCACGTCGCCAACATTGGAAAGATGGTCGAGGATATGGAGCTCAAGATGCGCAATCTGCTGCAGGAGGTGTACTTTGGAAAGGCAAAGGACGTTGTGGGTGACCTGAGGAGCATCCCATTACTCAGCCAGACGAACCGGGACCGGGCAACACAGAGGGAGATGATCAACAGCATGGGTCGGTAGAAGTAATGGCGTGCGTATGAGGATGCTTAGTGTGGCATAGATGATATCAATCGATTCTGGCTCCAGCGGTATACCCACGAGGACTGGACTATCTCAAACACAAAACGGGCTGTTGCATGTGATGAATTGCAGGCAGTGACGGGACCCCACAGAGCTACGTGTGAGATGGTAGGGAGCCGCAGTAAGTGACATGCTATCATGCCGGTCATAGACTGACTGCACGCAAACTCCGTAGATCTTGTGCTTGAGATATGCACGGTAGTCCCTTCCCTGATCCCTACTGAGAGGCAATGCATAGTCTGACAAAGCGACAAACGCTCGAAGCGTCCGAGACAAACATTCCACAAAAGGCTAGTTACTTCCTACCAAACACAGCAGCCACTATATGAACACGTACATCCCCAGACACATCAGCCACCAATCTCAAGACGAGGCACGACCCATTTCAAGCTATTCACCCTAGCAAGTCCATTGCCCCAGATGACTAGCCCACCCGCAAACCGTAAGCGCTCACGGAATCTATCAACCAGTTCCGCATCATTACCGTCAGCAAAGCTAGCCGATCCACCATTTGATCGTGATCGAACATCTGCGGCGGACCGTGCCGCCGAATTCCCAAGCGCAGTCAAGGAAGACACAATTGGAGATGACATGAGTGGAGAAAACAAGATTACGACGGAAAGCACTCGCGAAGAGCGTGAAGATGCAAAGACGGTCGAAAACTACAAGGACACAACGCCGAATCTCTACGAGACCAAACAGGAACCCGAATCAGCCGCACCCGGTGCTACTACAGCTTCGCCGGAAACGCCTATCACGACACCCGATCCTCTGGCGATAGCTCGGAAGAAGTTCGATGAGAGGGTGGACGAGCTCGCAGTTGGCCTCATTGCCTCGTCGCGACAAATCATTGAAAAGGCCATCGATAAGGTTGTTAAGTTAGCGGAGGAATATCGCCAGCCTCTTATCCAGGCGGCAGAGATAGCTGCCAGAGAAAAAGGCCGTAGGGAAGGCTATGAACGAGGTTATGCGGCAGGCTTAGAACAAGGCAAGAAGGTGGGTTATGAGCAAGCTAAGAACGGTTGCGACGAGGAGGGCAAGAACGATGAAGATGCGTAAGGCAAGAAGAATGGCAACGCTTGCAAAGGCCGAGTCAGAACTTCCGTCCAAAGCCATGTAGAGGCGAATCCATAGCTGTACCAGTCAAAAAAGATCATGGGTGGTTAGACATGTAGTAGGCAAACCAATGGAATCAATGCGTTGCGCCAATTCAATAGAATCTGTAGTTGCCTGTCCTACTGGGGCGGTGCGGTTCGGGCCTAGCGCGGCTTCCGTTCCAAGGTTTCGTGTCGCACCCGTGGACGCGACGCGACCTCTTTCCCTCTCCCACCGTCCTTGCCTTATTCTCATGGCGTCCACCCACCAACAACTTCCTTACGCGACCTTCAAATCATTGCCATTCATCACCCTACACCAACAACGCAGTGAGATCGTGTACTGCATACCAAGCGCCCCGAACCGTGCCGCCCGCCGCTTATGCGTTCGTCCCAACAAGACGCCCTTTATCGACAAGCTGGTTACTACCAGAATCTTTCATCATCATTGCGAAACCAAAATGCCTCATCGTCAAGTACACTTACCGGATATAAATCCTAGGGTCGACTGCTAAAAGCTTGCCGTAGCTCCGAGATTCGCCAATCTCCGGCTATGGACGTGACGCAGATCTTCCGCCCGCAGTGTCACCACCAACTCGCTCGGTATATTACAGCTATTATAGTTACAATATGCAGTTATCTCGAATACGGTTGACAGGTTGTTCCACTTGCAACTGAGGTCCTGCCAGCCTTGCGTCAGGCATACCATCACACCTTGCGCACGGGTGCACCATTGGCAGCTGTGGCAAAGCTTCGCTGATCGTGCCAGAGCTCAGCAGTCCGCTCCATGATTCGATCGTTGACCATTTCCATCCGGCCCCCGGGTCAAGCCTCTTAGCTTCGGGGGGCTGGAAGTGGACGGGGTTTCATCTAGATGCCCCCAATCTCACGTCTCGTGATCCAGTAAAGGAGCTCAATCTGCGCTCGAGTAGAACCGCGGCTGATCGCCGCCCGTCGAAAGTTCTTGTACAAGACGCACATAGAAGAGTCCGGTGATGAGGCTCAACTAGATTGACTGCATGAAATGTCGGCGTTGGCTATATAATGAGGGCATTATTGAGCTCAGCTGACTTAGAGAAGTGTGAAGGTATGGCTCATGACCGGAGTCACCGAGGTGTACGCGTTACTTCAAAATCGGCTTGCAGTGTGGCACAGCATTCAAACTTTCAGGAAAGCAGACTGGACAGAAGATACATGGGTGAGTATTCACATCTCACACAGAACCCGTACCAGGGCATCTGGACTGTCCTTCCCACGAGATGCCAGTCAGAGTACGGCACGGTACTGGAACGCTTGCGCCAATTCACCGTCATCCCCGTATATACAAGGCCTTTGTTAAGGGAATGTACCCGGTCAGCAGTAGAGTGGCGTTCACGTTCCCTTCGATTCGGCAACAATTGCTCCTTCAGTGCGCCAAATAATACATGAGTGGAAGTTATTTTGGGCACTGCATATCTGATGATGAAGACAGCCTCAAACCACGGTTCATGGCCCCCCACCAACGCGCCTACACACCACCTCGCTACAATCGGGTTGGACTGATGTTGGAACGCTTTGGTTGGGTGACATTGAAATACAAAAGAGATATCAATGAAGGTCGAACTGGAGAACGCATTCTTACAGCTCAGTCTTCGTCTAGTGTACGGAGAACTGCAAGATGGCGAGATTCTCTATTGCTTTCCTCCTACTCGGAACCCTACGCTGCTGTTTGGCATCACCTCACCAGCATTTTGCCCGAGGCACTACCGCTCTGATACCAAGCGCAACTTCAGCATCGCCGGATTCAACCCCACCTCCATCTCCGGCAATCGATCAAAGGCAGCACTCCAAGCATGTCAACGACTTCTATAGACTCTACGGCTGGCTTAAGCCTGGAGCGTCCGTATCAGACAGCGAGCTTCCGAGAGCCATACGAAAGATACAAAAGAAGCTCAAAGAGCCTGTCACTGGGGCTTTCAGCGATAAGATGATGGACATGATGAGCGGGCCGCGTTGTGGCACGGAACAACCGTACAATACGACAGATGCAGAGGACGCCTCGGACGTTGAGCGACGATACGTACTCTGGGGCCCGAAGTGGGCGAAGACGACGTTGACATGGCGCTTCGACAGTTATACGAATGATCTGTCTACAGCGCGCCAGCAAAGCACGATCAGGTTAGTCAAGCTTCCACGTTTTGGATATTCGCTACTATGTATGCTATGGTATGGGACTTCTTCAGCTCAATCTCTGCGGTTACGTCTCCCAGTCCAATAATCCTGGTCGCTAATGCTGCAAAGTGCCGCTTTTGCCCAATGGATGAATTACATACCCCTCAACATCGTACCAGCAGCCTCAAACGCTAAAGCTGACATCAACATCCGCTTTTCTCCCCTCGGTCGAGACGATACGCGTTACGGTTTTACGTCGATGGTCTCTGAAGGCACCTCCATGTCGTCTGGCAACATCAATGTGACCTTCAATGATGATTACCAGTGGACAGATGACCGCCTTTTCGGGTATACGGCTGTTCATGAGATCGGTCACGCTCTCGGGATGAGCCACAGTGGCGTCGAGGCGGCCATAATGTTCGCCTACTACGATGGTAGCATACGCCCTATGCATCCAGACGACAAGATGGGTATACACAGCATCTACGGCTGGAAGAGCCCGATTTGGAATCGTATCGATTCAGGCTCAGCAATCACAAATATGATCCAAGTCACGTCCAACACAGCTACTGCTTCAGCCAATGACGGTCTGTACCAGATGCGTTCATCGGGGCAGATTCTTCGCTACTCAAATGGTGCGTGGGTAGTCGCCGACAACAACAAAGATACTGCTCAAATCACCGGTGCAAACGGGAACCTCTACCAACGACACTACGACGGAGGCACCTTCCACTGGACAGGTAGCGCATCGAACTGGCAAGCTCTTAGCAATACCGACTCGAACGTGATTGAGATTGTTGCTGCAGCTGACCAACTATACTCGCGTCGCAAAGATGGATGGGTAGCCCGGCTCTCTGGTACATCGTGGCTCAGCATCGAACAGCCCTCCGCTCCAGGCTCCAGGCAAATAGCTGTCACCGACGACAAAACACTTTGGAATCTCCTCACGAACGGATACCTTGTTCGCTCCCTGTGGCCTCACAACTCAGGCCAATGGGCCATCGTTGATGACAACGCGAAGAATATCGCCATCGCAGTTGGCGGCAACGAATTCTACAAATTGCAGAGCGATGGCTTAGTAGTGTGGTTGAACACGGCTGGTCCTAGTTGGAAGACTATTGAGAAAGCTGGAAGTGTGGGTATATATGCTGTGGGGGGCTTATTGTATAGTAGACATGGCGATGGAAGTTTATGGAGATATACTGGCACTCCGGAAGTGTGGGAGATGATAGACAATAGGAGTGGAATGGCCGTTAGTATTGTGGGTGATCGGGCGGGAGGGGTTTGGGGGTTGTCTAGTACGAGTGAGATCTGGACGTTGGTTTCGTGAGCTTCGTTGTATCGACCCATGGTCTTGCCTAGTACGTAGGTGTTTACTACATGTTTTGTTGCTTGAAATCTATAGTGTGGTCCCCGAATTCTGCACAGCTTTCTCAAACCAGACCTTGTGTTGATCTTGGGGTCGACAAATCATAACAACATGTTGCTAGTTTTAAGCATAGGGTACAATGTCTCTTCTTAGCTGCGATAGAGGAGTATGTAACGGCGGCAGATGGTGCAATGTCAACTCAAATGGAGTACGGAAAACCGGACACCTTGGAGTAATATAGTGCCTACTAAGAAGGCTACCCCTCGCCTACAGTTCACTCATCATCGTCTAGGGGCATCTCATCGGCCAGCGGATGCTCAGACAAATAGGCCAGCCTCTACAGGCGCAAACTTGACCTGATCAGCTTGTATCTCCTCCAACAATCCATTGCCTGGGTACTCATCCAGATCCAAATCAACATACCCCCTCTCCGCCCATTTCCTCGCAGAAACAAAAAGCGATCGCCCGTTGACATTCGCATCACTCAGAATCCTTAATAAACACTGCCCTGCATCTTCCATCGTAGCGAACTGCACCCCCGCCTTCTCCACGGCATCAAAATCTTCATGCGATAGGATGCCCGTGCGCACGTACCATGGCGAAATCATGTTGATGCGAGACCCGTAGTAGTACGCCGTTCGACGCAGCGAATGCATGATGCCGCGCATCGCATACTTTGACGCGCTATACTGGGGCCCTCGCGGACAGTCTAGGTAAGCCGCTCCAGATCCGATGAGAACGAGACAGGTATCTGTTTGGGAGGGGGATGGGGAAGTGCCGTTTTGGGTCATGAAATAGTGGGATGCGAGTTTGGTGGTGTAGAGTGCGCCGTTGAGGTTTACGGAGATGATGTCGAGGTTGGGCTTTTGTGGGGGTTGGGAGGGACCGTTGAATGTGAAGACGTCGTCGGCGTGTATGATGCCGGCGTTGGCGACTACGTAGTCGATCTTGCCGGTGGCGGATAGGGAGGTGGCTTCGCTGAAGAGGCGGACTTGGTCGTCCCAGTTTGTTACGTCGCAGTGTACGAATCGACAGTCTTTCAGTTCGGAGGCAAGCTGTTGTCCGCGATGCACATCGCGGTCTCCGAAACACACCTTCACGCCTGCGTTGACCAGTGCTCGGACGTATGCTTCCCCGAGACCACTGCCGCCTGCCAATGAGGTTAGCTGGCTTTTCAACGAACGTACCAGGTACTACTGCAACGACTATGGTGTTTGGAATTAGGGCTGCGCATACCTCCAGTTACTACAGCAGTCTTTCCTGCTAGATGGCTGACATCGAAGTCAATCGTGCAATCGACAGGTTTCGTAGGGGTGGAGCCAGGCATGGTGATGACCAAATCTAAAGATCTTGTGAGGATGAAAGAGCGAATGAATATTGGATCGAAGACCGACCGAGCTCCTTTTATAGCTCAGATCTCATTCCATACTCTGACACGAACCGCTGTACATAGGTGTTTCCCAATGTGGTCAAATATCGACCTAGATAGGTAGGGGCCATGGAGTTAAGGAGCGGGTATGTGCAACCAGCTGACAGACACCATTGTAATGTAGTCTTAGCCGCTACTCGATGTTATATTCTGGATTTGTAGACTATGAAATAGGTTTTGGGTGAGAAGTGACCGAATGAGTAGTGTCGGGATGGTGTGGCGGTAGGCAACGCGCTAATGCAGCCTGCTGACACGCTGGGCAAACACCGAATGTGTGCAGGCCGAACGCCCTTCACGCCGTGTCGTCATAGTATTTGGGGTTTCTCATACTCATACGCGCAACTAATGCAAGAGATATAAGGAACTGATGCCTGAACGCGCCGAGTGTAGCATACCTACTGGAGCGCGTCCTAGACAGGGCCGAAGATACCCGGTCCCCGCGTGGCTAGCGCCTCAGACTGTGACATGTCCAGGCGTGCATTCCCACTTGTCGTTCCTGTCGTTCCTCAACTTCAACTTTCTAGTATGGTGACTTAGTTCCACAAACCGATATTCTGCTCAACATCTTCGGCATGCGTTTGCAAGATGCTGCCGTCTCCGTTGCCGAGGTCCAGCCCCACATCTCCCCACATCCCTGTGTCAACAGTCTGGGGTGCCACGCGGGGTGGCTGGCGAAGACGGGTATGTAATGACATGTAGTCTAGATAGCGTTCTAGATCTTGAGCAGAGTTTTGGAATGTAACGCGTACGCGAAACAAACAATGTCGACCGAAGAGTGTACCCTACACCATCCCACACTACAGCGGACCTTGCGTGGAACATCATCCGCGTCAACAACACAGTTTCGCAACCTAAAGTACGCATCGATACCGGCACGATACAAGGATTCGATTCCAGACGATAGGCTTGAAGTTGGGGAGGATGGGGTTTTCGACGCTACGCAATTCGGACCATCATGTCCACAATTACGTGGAGCTCAGGCATGGGACCTGACTTTAGTCGGAGATGCCGTCTTGCCTTGCAGCCCTGGTCAGGGCGATACAGAGAGAATGAATGAGTTCGACTGCCTGAACGTAATCGTCACGGTGCCCAAGGATATCCCGAGCGATGCAAAGAGTGGAGGACGAGGTCTTCCAGTGTTCGTGTGGGTACATGGTGGTGGTCTCAGCATCGGAGCAAACAGTTGGCCACAGTATGATCTACTTCGATTTGTCCAGCGAGGTGTAGAAACCGGTAAACCCTTCATTGGCGTTTCGATAGCATACCGAGTCAACGTATTTGGTTTCCTGGCCAGCGATGAGATTGGTGCAGCCGGTAACATGGGTTATAAAGATCAGGTGCTGGCTTTCCGATGGGTCAAGAAGCATATCGCGGGTTTTGGAGGCGATCCGAACAACATCACTACTGCAGGCGAGTCGGCAGGAGCGATTTCGCTATCAACGCTCCTCTGCGCGAACGTTGGGGACGAGGGGCTCTTTGAGCGTGTTGTCATCATGAGTGGCGAGGCATCTTTACGCAAGTGGAGGAACAAATGGTGGCATCAGAAGATGTGCGAAGATCAGTCTACCTATCTGAAAATCGAAAGCAACGATATCGAGAGCAGGAGAAGGATCTTATTGGACACCGATGCGGAAGAGTTAGCTCAGAGATTACCTTTAGCACAGCATTTCGCCGCAACAGTCGACGGCCAATTCTTCACACAAGAAGTCACGATCGAGTCGATAATGGATGGCTCAAGCGCCGTACACAAGCCATCATGGTGCAAGGAGTTTGTAATAGGCGACACAGAGCACGACGCCCTCATTCTGAAAGGCCGACTGCTCGACCAGCCCAACAGTTTTGGGCGCCTTCTCAAGGCGTGCGAAACACACCTTTCTCCACTCGAGACCCTCGGACTACTACAGGCCTATCTTATTGATGGCAACGTATCAAAGGAAGCCAGAGGAGAGCGCTTGTTAGTACTCGCATCTGAACTCCGCTTCTATCTACCAGCGCTAGCAGCATATAGGGGATGGGAAGCTCTCTCACCACCAAGACCAGCATCACGATACCACTTCCACGTCCCCAACCCAATAGATGGGCCTTTCAAGGGTCTCGCAGCCCACGAGCTCGATGTTGCATATCTCTTCCAGAATTTCGACCCTTACTTCAGTGATGGCGACAGGAGGATAGCACGGGCTATGCAAGACCAGTTCATCCGATATATCCACGGCGAAGGGTGGGTTGAGGATGGCAACATGTTGGTGTTTGACAAAGACGGCACCACGGTGATCGATGATGAGAGGTATGATGAGATGTACCGAAAGAGAAGGGGAAGTCTACTGGAGAAGATCGGAATGGAAAGGTTATGGCGTGTTGCCGAGATGTGGCAGGGTGTGCGACAGGAGGAAGAACAGTACGCAAATTTCTCGGGCGACTCGAAGCTATGAAGGATATGTATATCATCACTTCTAGCTACTTTGTGGGGTTTCTTATGACCTTTTCAACGCAAATACCAAGGTCAATGATGACCTAATCGAGACTCAGCAATTTGACCTATTCACTCGAATTGTGCATGGCAACGTGACCTTGCCTGTTTGGGACTAGCCCTCCACCGTTTGTAAGTCACAACTCAACCTTCGAAATCTGCGTCGTTTCGCACAGAGAATCCACATCCGAGTCAAATCATCCCATAACTGTATCGCTACATCCCTCCGTTGTCACACACCACCAAGCACCACCGTTCATTCAATGTCCAGCTCAGAAGAAGAAGTCCCCTTCTTCTCAACCTTGAAATGGCGGAGGCGAACAAACGTAGTCAACGTAAACAACGCAACCCACAATCCACAACCCACAACCATGACATCCGTTTCAACTGATCTAACCCTCAACCCCCAGCAGCCCATCCTCTTCGGCGACGGCCTCCCAACCAAGCGTCCCAAAGCCACCTCCCCACCCTGGGCACCATGGATCGATCCCGGCCGCGAAGTCCTCTCCGAGGCCGAATCCCGATGGTCGCTCTACCTGTACTACGAGTTCGACAGAAAGACACTGTTCTTCGAACAAGTGCCTGTTCCAAACATAAGCGCCGTCGCACCAGACGCGTCGCAATGGCCGTGGCCAGCCAAGTTCTT